GTGGGGGTCTTTAAGAAGAGGCTGGATGCCTACCTGGCTGGACTCATTTGAGTCCTGTTTTTGTTTTGGGGTTTTGTTGTTCTCCCGCCCTGGCGGGGGGTCGGGCTAGAAGATCTACTAGGTCCCTTCCGACCCTAAATCTATGAAACTATGAACTATGAATAATTTGTGGACCAGTATTTGGTCATTAAAAAAGGTTGCACAGATAAGGAAAGAGCTGTGATCAAAGTTTAGTTTAACTTCTAATTTAACAACTTATTTTGTTAAACTTTAGGCTAATGGGTAGCCAGTGTAACTTCCTAATGGATAAGAAAACAGGAATACTGAAAGTACAACAAAAAATTAAGCATATTTTCCAATTTTAGATTTACAGAGACCAAGTAGATGCTAATAACATCGTGTCACATAGTTACACCCCAGGTTCAAATAGTGTTATATTTAGTTTAATTTAAAAACATTATTTAACTTTGCATTATTTCAGATTTTTCAGTGTGTAATTTTGAATGTTTCTGTGCATAATTCCATGGGGTGTACATAGTGTCTTGGTATTAAAAACAGCCCAAGCAGAAAATTATCTAGTGTAGAAGTGTCTTCTAGATACAGGAATTTGTTGTAAATATAATATTTTTTAAAAGTTGTAAGAACATTTTTCCATATTACAAGGTTAGCCCCCCAGCAAGTCAGTGCAGTTCCTTGACAAAGAGAAGAAGATCCTATTATACAATCTTCAATCCTTCTCAAGAGTTTCAAGTGACTGTACTCATTCCCACTTCCAAAGCTTATTTTTACATCTGTAATTTACTTGGTTTGCCCCTGCCAGCCTCCTCAATTGGCCGGATTTTGTTAGAGCCAATATGACCACAAAATGAGATGAAAATAAAGGACATGTAGGCAGCTTAATTTGTATTAGGGTAATTAACAAAAAATATAGAATTAGTAAGGGAGCCACATTTGTGAAACAGGATCTTATTCTCATCCTTTTAGAATGTTAAATAAAGTGCATCCTGTCCAGAAAAACTATTGCCACATTCTGTAAAATATGGCTGCTGATTTGACTTTGCCATAAAAAGATGGCTAAATGATTTGATAGCACAATCATTAGATATACTGCCTGATACAAAGGACAGAAGAAAACATGAAGAACACAACAGCAATGGAACTTGTGAGGATCTCCCACTTATGTAGCTTTAGACTGTGGGATACACAACCAAGGAAGAACTCACAGTACAGCAGTTTATGGCCATTTGTATCAAAGCATCAGTCAGTAAATGGGACTGATGAAAATCTGCTCAATCTCGCCATTGTAAGAACAGACCCCATTATTACTATTTTGAAAAAATAATAAGTTCTAATTCTGAATCTGGAATTTCAGTAGAGGAAATTGGATGCTTGTCTTGCTGGGATCCTATGACCCCAGCTGACTTCCTGCTCCTTGGGCAGGGGGACTGGACTTGATGATCTTCTGAGGTCCCTTCCAGCCCAAATGTCTATGAAATCTATGAAAAGAAGAGCTGAACTGAAATCAATCTTACCCTAGTATAAGAAGCTGGAGTATAAAAGCCACTGAACGTCCTGAATTATTTTGGTCACTACTCTCTTTCCCAAAACACGGGGGTAATGTGGGGCCTCTGCAGGACACGCTAGGAAATCTGGTCGTCGCACCAGACAGCAAAGCTAACCTATTTAACAATTTCTTTGCCTCCATTTTTCTGAGCAGGGACCAGGTTACCCCCTCCCCTCACTGGGACCCCCGTAGGTCCCAGGGGAGGTGCACCCAGGCCTAGGGTCAGTGAGGACCTAGTCAGGAAACTTCTGGAGGGACTGGACATATTTAAATCAGCTGGTCCTGATGATCTCCACCCCAGAGTGCTGAGGTCATAGCAGGACTCCTGGGACGTCTTTACGAGCACTCATGGTGCTCTGGTGTGGTGCCAGAGGACTGGAAAAGGGCCAGTGTGCTTCCCATTTTCAAAAAAGGGAAGAAGGAGGACCCAGGAAACTATAGGCCAGTCAGTCTTACCTCGATCCTGGGTAAGCTTTTTGAGAGT